AAGATTACCTTTGAACTAAGTCACTTAAGACTAGTATTTTTCCAGCTGTAACACTTTAACTGGTTTCTTAGCTCTCTATTTTAGTAAGGGGCCACTTATGGCCTCCGTCGTTGTTCCTATTCCAAGTTGTCTGGCCTTCGAGCCTTGTGAGTAGGCTTAATCCCTTCACCATGTCGACAACACATATTCTGCCCCAGTATCATTGTCTCTGTTCATCTTCAAGTATGTCTCGGGGCGCTACGTTGGTCGCAGCAGAAAGCAAACTCCATCTTAATGGATAATTTTCCTCATTTTTACTGTTAGGCGATTGACCCTATGAAAGGTTGTTGCGGATGGGAGAATATGTGACAAACCCTAACAAAAGGTTTAAAAGTGAGGCCTACCTTCGGCATCTACCCCAGTTCCGTGGTCCATAGGAAAGCTAGCAACTACTGAAGCTACACTAGTCGTTAACTGTCTTGAAAAGTTCGTTACGGAGCCATCTACCGTACCTGTATGAAGATGCCAATTAGGTGAATACTCGACACCAACTCCTCTACCTCTCTACTAGCTGAATAGAAGCCCCATATATACGCATATGTCTGGGCAGCACTGAAGTGAAAACAAGTGGCAAGGAGGAGTAGACGCAAATCCCCACCCCCACGGACCTATGTTGGATCCTGTTTTCTGCTATATTGTTCGACTCCTAGGTCAGCACTACTATGGCTAGCCATGGATACGCGCAATCGTCAGCACATTCCGCCGTTCCCAAATCCAATTTCCATACAGGACGAAACCCCAGATCCAGCAGAATTGCCAAAAGGAATCAGTGACGTTGCAGTGAGAAGATGCCCTCTCAGTTGCATAGAAGGTTCACGATTAGCGCAGTTGGCTCGTGGGCATTTTTCTTACAGCACCGATTACTGCGATGGCTGACGCGAGAGGTTGACCAAGGGAGGGCTAGAGACGGCGCTTAAGAGGAGGGGGACTATGCAATGCGTCAATTATTTGCTTAACTCTCGGTTTTGGTAACGGACCGATAGAGGCCTTGCCGTTGTACCTTTGCTAGGGCATCCCCTTAGGATATGCTGGTAGCCCTGATTCATTCTGTATGTCGACAATACACATTCTGCCAAAATGTTATGCATTTTTGTGCCACCACAAGCTTTTTGATTTTAATCCGTTAACGTTGGCCTTTTAAAAAATTTAGGAATAAAGTGAATTAGCACTGTTTTTTAAAAAATGTAATGTTTGTTAGCAACCTTTTAAGGTTATGATCTTTTAATGAACTGTTATATTTTGTGACTGCTTTTAAATTTGCTTCTGCGATATTATTGGTCGATGGCGGCTGGTGCTAATGTTCGTGGTTCCGCTGTCAAGGCTCTTCAGAAAGAATTTAAGGAGCTAGCTGAAACTCCAGTTGAAGGTTTTAAAGTTGCCCTCGTTGACGAATCAAACTTATTTGTATGGGACGTAGCAATTTTTGGCCCTCCGCAGACACTCTACGAGGGCGGTTACTTTAAGGTATTTGACGGTTTTTTGCCTAGTACCAGGCCCGTTTATCCTTCCCTCCGGATTATCCTTATAATCCTCCTACAATGCGTTTTATAAACCCCATGTTTCATCCAAATATCTTCGAGAATGGAAATGTCTGCATATCTATTTTACACTCTCCTGGGGAAGATTTATTTAGTGACGAACATCCTTCAGAGCAATGGAATCCAACTCAAAATGTTAGGTGCGTGGTGTGTTTTGCTGGTATTTTTAGAACTATTCTTTTAAGCGTCATCTCTTTACTAAATGAGCCCAACATTCACTCGGCTGCACATGTGGATGCGTCTGTTGCGTATAGAAAATGGGTTGAGTCCAAGGGAATGGAGAAGGCTTATGAGCAGCGAGTCAGGTAATTATACGAGTAGTATTATTGTACTATTCCATCTAGTCGCTGCCAAAGTGTCGTTCGTCTTTTAGACATATTGATTGTTCATATTATCAGGTAGCGCACTAGGCTTGCTTGCTAAAGTGCAAGTTGATTGTGGTAGGATACCAACCTCAATTTTATTTACTATTTTCTGTATTTTTGGATAATACTTGTTTCTCCGCAAATTTTTCTTTATGTTCTTATTTCTAATACTCAACTGTCGTCAGCGTGGTGTGGGTTGTTGTTTCAAACCAGCTAGTTTCATAGATCGTCTGACCGAATTTGTAACGCTATCTGGGTAAGAACGTTGCCGAAGCCGAGGTTCATTGCATCTTCTATAAATGTTGGATGGCTTTTTACTTGCCAGTTTTCTATGCGTGATTGCACCATTTTGTTTTGGGGCATCATCAGTAACTTAGTTGATTCTGACAATTTAAAGTGGTTCCCTACCGCTTAACCCCAATTTATGAGCAAATGGATTTAAGTTCTTTTGCTTGTTTTGTTATTTTACCATGGTATTTTGAATATTCTTAGAATGGATTTTCAATTACTGCTTAGAAGCTACTTACGATATGCGGCTTACAATGTTTTCTTTCCGCTTGAATTTCATCTCCACAAATTCCGCTATCGACTGTTTTCCAAACCTGCCTTGAAAGCTTGCCCTAAATGATTCTACTAACTGCGTAATTTTAGGGAGCTTGTGGAACGTACGAAGCTTGATGCGAAATGGGATGGGGTGATCGTACCCACCACTCTCGAAGAATATTGCTTTGCCTCTCGACAACAGCAATCTGCGGCGAAATCACGACAGGAAAGCGGAGAGGCTATGCTTTTGGATGAAGATGATGACTATTGCTTCTGTGGTGACTACGATGAGGAGTTGGAAGAATTCGATGAAATTTACGGTGACGTGAAGGATCCCGACGAAGTTGTTGAGTCCGAAGATGAGGTAGTTGCTTGTCACCGTGTACCTAACAACTCTCTTCCGTCGAAAAATGGCATTACTAGCCCTTCTGTTAAATCCTCAATGCAACCGAATTCGCCCTCCACATCTTTTAAAAGCTAAGCACTTGAACGAAAAGCTGTGATACTGTCTCTGAATTCACGCTTTAACTTTTCACGACTCTAGTTCCATGATGTGAGGTTGTGTGTGTACATAGCGCGATGATTCCGTTCGCCCGCATGGGGTTGTGGTCTTTGCACATTTTTAATCGGCCATCTTACTGTAATCTGGAGATTTGAGCATGTCAATAAATGGGCTAACGTAATGCTTTGCCTTGGCGGTGCGGTGGGATGGCTTCGGCTGTGCATGCTAGGTCATGCGATCTTTATCCAAGGTGTGTTCGGGTGTCGCGGTGGCATACTGGCAATCGGGATGGTGGTGCTGTAGCGTCAGTTGTTGGCTCCCGGGCGCAATGCGTCGGTACTCGGCGGGGGAAGGGGAAGCACCGCTCTGGTCACCAAAATGGCTTTGCCGAGTAGTTAAAATGCTATAGATACAGGTGGAACATTGCTGTAGGATTTTGGTTGCATATGCGGGTCGTGTATTTCAACCTAATTCGACAAAAATATTGGTGGATTGCAGAATTGAACAAGACGAATGCTAAGTTAGGTATTGTTTCCTTCGGTGAACCAGTTCATGTTTCAGCTATTTCTAAACTTTGGTAGTTAATCTGCTTGACTACTCTTTGTAGCGGGTACCTTAAAGTTAATCTTGGTATCCAGTAAATGTAGAATTCGAGAATACGTTTTTAATCTGCTAACTTATATTGTGAACTGAGGCTATTTCTACCGCATACCGGTACTCATGTCGCAAGGACCACGGCAGCGGTATTAACTGCTCAGAGAAATGTCACAATGCAGAAAATCTACACCCATGTCCAGATTTCTTACTTGTAGATGGTACATATGCTTCCGCTGGTTTGATAATTGTTTTCATTCCGGGACTACGTGCTTGAATGCATGAGATCCTGACCATCTTTATCAAAACGCGCCCCTGTGTTGGTGTGTAAGAACTTTTCAGACTTGCAAATGTTCGTGACTAATTTCGTTCACCGCTCCCATGGGAGCATTCGCCTTATGCAGTTTCACGACAGATTATGCGTTTTACTCTCAAGCTGCTTACAAAAATGGCTAGAAATCACCATGATCTGAATCAGTGCGAACGTAGTCGTATTTACGGTTTTATTTGGGACGATTGTGCTCTTTAAAAGCCCATTTGCACCGTATACGTATATTAATAGAGATACACGGGTTCGGGTTTTACGCCTTAGTTCACAGGGTTCCTCCAACCGTAAATTGCTTGCACACGAATTCTGTTTTCTGCCGCTCTGACTAAATATGTCTAACCTGGACATGCTCATTCATGAAATTAGGATAAAATTACCGCCTAACCCTGCACGTAGTATCGCCACAGTAGCGTACCTTCTTACACATTCCTGTAAAATGTGGAATTCCAATTCAAACTGAGTCACTGTTATGTTCTTTGCAGGAGACACTTTACGGAGTTGTAGCAGGTTGCCATTGCAATAATCTTTGCAACGTCTAAGTTCTCAATTTCTTCACAGTGGTTCGCGTTTTTCATATGTTGTCTGAGGTTTTATTTTAGTTTGTCTATTTGTCGGGTATGTCCAGGAGTCTTTAGGCCATGGTACTCCTTTAAGCCAAAAATGTAGATAAGCAGAGATTTCGACACTTATAACATCGGGTATTGTGCCCCGTCATTCCGTTAAAACATTGAGATATCTCAACTGCCGTTTTAACCTAGAAAACAGTTTCATAAATACCTATTGGGAATGACGCGTTTTTGTTAATCTAATGGATATGATCAACTCGATCCCTTTCACTTCTCTCTACTCCTTGATGCTAGTTACAGTAATGGGAAGACAGCTATCTGGAACTTAATCTAAAAATCATGTTCCGAGACTTTCATCCAATTTACTATGCTGTAATCGTACGACCACTAGTAAAAGCGTGTCGTGATCAATGCCTCTCCAATTTGTGTCCGCTCACCGCTAAGTGAGTATTGCGACAATTCATTGAAGGAAATACTTTAACAGAACTAACGTCTTGCGTCGATTATATTTTCGTTTACTCATACATTTTATGCGAACTCAGTCAAAAGAAGCTACATGCAAACTTTGCGTTTGTGTTCGATATATGTCGCAAAATCATTCCACACGGTACGTTCACTTCGTTTCCCCATTTTACCTAAAAGCGTTCTCACCTGCCTTGTCGCTTCGGTTTGCAACGGATAATGCTGTTTACTACATTGTACAAAGTTATTCAATTTTCATCTTTCAACACCACTTTCGTGAATATAGTGCATCAATAATTTAATGCAACAGCAGGCTTTAATGTAGCGTCCCGAGACTTTTTGAAGACGAAAGAAGACGTAATGCTCGGTCAGTACATATATATTCAGCACAGAGAAGGTATTTGGGCTACTGGCATGGCCCGAAGGCCAGCCCACCCGGAGTGGTACAAAAAGGCCAATTCGGAAGTGGCTCCTCGCCAATACCGAGGGATAAACAACCATCGTATTACATGGCCTCCTTCCTCTTTTGAGCATCGTCCCGCGCCAGCCACCACAACGTGGTCGGTGATTTAAGGAAACACCCACAATCCGGCTGTGCCAGTCATCAAATCAGCGTGCAACTGAGGAGATACTCGACCGCATTGTCACCAATCCCTCTTAGCAGTTTAATTGCATCTGGAGCTTCGTCCGGTTTAGGAACTTGCTTCAGGAACGGGGAATTGTGCTGACCATCATGTGTGTCCATAGATAGATGTAGACACACTGGCATAAATGCGGATTTGTATAAGGTAAGATGGGATTTAACATAGGTCCGTAGGGGAAGGGTCTCGCGTCTGTTCCACCTTGCCACGTTGTTTTCACTCTGGAGCTACCCAGGCGCCATTCAGCTAGTAGGGAAATAGAGGAGCTATCGCAAATTCACTTTGTCAACAGCTTTATTCGGGTACGGTAGGGGAAGTCTGTAACGAAACTTCCAGATGGTTCACGGCTAGTGTCACTTCAGTTATTGATAGCTATTCTGCAGAACACGGGACCGCAATAGATGCCGAAGGTAGACGTCAACTTCAGCCCTTCTGTCTAGGGTCATCGCCATTCTCCCATCCGTAGCATATGTACTTCTTCCGCTCCGCTAAGGTTTACTACGCAGCAATGAAAATCATGATATATGTCCTTTAGGATAAGGGTCGCTTTCCGCTGCCACCAATGTAGCGTCCAAAGACTTCCCTGAGGACGAAAGAAGACATAATACTTGGGCAGTACATATATATTCAGCACAGAGAAGGTGCTCGAACTATTGTCCTGGATCGAAGGCCAGCCCACCCGGCACAGTACTAAAGGGCCAATTCGAAAGTAATTCCTCGCCAATATCGAGGGATAAACAACCATCGTATTACATTAGTTTCTCTTTTATTATCTACAACTTCCACCTCTTGTAATATGGTTTAGTTATTACAATTTTGCTAGTTTTGACTGGGTCACATTTTTTACTTTTTGGGATGTGCACTTGTTGCTACTTTAGCACTCTGTATCGAAGTGAACGTGAATTCCTTCTTAACTTCCCTAAGTTTAACTATTAATCGGTTGGTACTAATAGACATATCAAGTTTCCATCCATAATCAATGGTTCGACTTACTAATAAGCATTTGGTTTGATCACAGTAAATGAGGTGGAACTCTTCGTTGTTTAGGCGTGGTGTAGAAACTACGCCGTCTCAACGTTGATACTCAATGCCTATTGCTCTAAGTGCTTACAGATCAAATAGTGATAGAACGCATGTCAAAAAGTGCTGTCAACCGAACTACTTAGAAATTGGCTTTTCACGATCTTAGATTGTTACAATTGTGATGGGTTGGGCGTTTACCTCTTCTACCCCGGCTTTCATTTCCTTAGAACGGTTAGACCGATTGGATGGGGCATTCTTTATTAGTAGCATTGTAAATGGGGTGCAATGTTCACGGTTATGCTTGTTCAAAACGTATGACTTCCGTTCCGTAAGGAGATTTGTGTGCACTGACTGCCTCTCGCGTAAAATATGTATTCAAGAAAACATGCATAACAAAAAACAAGTATTTGAAAATGCATCCACCTATAGGTGCATGGAACGATTTGCATCCTAAAATCCCCTTAAATACGTAGGGCTTCATTATGTTGACGCGTGGCCTTTCATTTAGATTATCCTGCCCACTCGAGACTTTACCATTTTACTTAAGGGTGATTGCTTACGACCAGCTCCTCTAAGGTCAATGTTATGTTGAGGCAGATTTGTTTAGAAATATTGTTCGCGAAAGCTAGGAACCTCGAAA